TATGTGGGACCTTTACTAGAAATCATCCTTCGAGCATTTGTTGCACGAGATTTTCATTAGAAAATCGTAATCAATCTATTTTCATACAAAAAATTCCTAGCAAAGACCCATATCTTTGGCTATTAGGTAGACTATAATTACATTTGCTTTAAAAAAGTACCAATAATTACTCATTATTAAATAGTCGGGGACCTACCAGGTATAGATCGCATTGACGGTGGAATAAGGCTTGGTGGTAAAGTGGCAGGTAGAATTGCTCCATTCATCTTTTTAACCATTAGGTGCATGGCAACAGCAAATTCATCACGATTAAGAGAACCAGATTTTCTGATATCTGCAAGGTCCCTAGATTATATCCGGTCATTGTTTTGTAAAGGGCTATTGAAAAATGATACTGATCGTAGAACCGAAAAGAGCCATAAATTAATTTTACCATATCTGTGCCAATACATTTGGCGTTAATCTAGATTTCATGAAGAAACTTGCTGCTTCATCGCCTATTAAGCAATGTTTTCATTCTAAGATATATACATATATATATATATTGTAGCTTGCAAAGATATTTAAATGGACGATCATGTCACCTGTGAGGTATCCTTTATTGCTAATTCCGTCGAGGGAATTGAAATATTTATCGTAAGTTGCTTTATCATCAGGAGTCACGTCCCACGAATAGTCTTGAGTAATAGGCGATATTGGTGCATCAACAACACCGGAAATTTTCCTAGAAGGAGGTTGTGGCGAAGTGGGAAAGGTTGGTGCATTCGCTGTTGTTCCTGAAGCCATGTCATAGAATCCATCGGGGAGTACAGATGGAAGGTTTTTAATTGAACCGTTCATAGCATTTTGCACAAAATACATTGCTATAATAAATTCCGCCATATCCAATTTTCCTCGCTTTTTTGTATCAGCCAATGTCCTTGAAAATCATTATCAAAAAGTTGGCTCATAATTTAAATAATGATTGAAGCTTTTTCGAATGAATAAATAATTTCTTTTACCAAATCTGGCTGAGTTTGTCAAAGGATAATTTCGATTTCGTGAGTACATCTCTAACTTTATCGCCTAAAAATAATATTGGTTTTAAAACGCGAATGCCCTCAAATTACAAATAGATTAGAAAAAAAAAATACCATCCAAATCGCCATTGACAGGATTTAGCCCGATAAACATTCGTATATATTTTTCTCGGTCTTCAGTTGAGATTATATAAACACCATCAAAGCGTGGAAGAGGTGAAGCTGGAAATTACAATTATCTAAAGTTATGAAATAATCAAACTTGATCAAACAAAAACAATACAATTACAATAACAAATAAATTACCAGCATTAATATTTGCGAGATCAGGCGATTGCCCATTTTGTACCTGAGCGATTAACTTTACAGAAACACTAAAGCTTTGCTGTGTTAAATAGCCCAAGTTTTCACTATCTGCAATCTGCCATATCTAAATTCATAACAAATTTAAAGTTTATAAAAGAAAAAAAAGATCAGACTATTATGGAAATTTCGTAAAACACTTACTTCACTCAAAATTGAAGGCGATAAACCAGAAGTTGAAAAGAATTTAACAGCATGCTGCCCTTCGATCACACCCTTTTTATCAACATCAGCGAGTTGGAAAAGTTGACCATATACCCGTTTTTCCTCGGGAGTAAGTACAATCAGCGGACCTAAAAATCGTTAGTGTGTGTTTAATAATTTAGCATTAAGACTATTAAACAAACTAAAATTGTTCTCACATGGGCAATACCTTTACTTGACGCTCTTCGAAATTGGGACATGTTCAGGATACTTGAATTTTTGAAAAGGATTTAACGAAAGGCTGGTTTCACAATTCTCCAATGATAAAAGAAAAGAAAAGGGTAATTTAAAATGAGTTGAGGATTTAAAGTGTTCAGAATGTCTAAAAATGTCGGTAAAAATGTCGGTAAAAATTCAAATCGCATTATCAGAAATACAACGAATGTTACACGGCGTATAACAGTATCAGGTATAATATTAGTACAGTAATAAATGTCACGGCTGATTATGAAATCGGATTATTGTGAAATTTGGATCTATTTGAGTGCGTGAGAGTGAAAACCTGGAAACCGATCATAGTAAATCATTAAATCGGTTTCCAGGTTTTCACTCTC